TGGCCGCCGTGTGACAAAGGGCTATTGCCTCTAAAGCAAACCTCGTTTCCGCAAGTTCTGTGGACTGTCCGGGCTTGAAGACTCGTTTTAGCGGCGGGATTGTGTCAGGCTGCGCAGAGGCCTCTTTGTGTTGGGGCCGGGGGGAGGTGGGGAGAGGTAAGAAGTAAGCGTGCAGGGTACGATGGGAATGGAAAAGAGAGAGGAAGCAAGGTCTTTTCCCGCTTTCTCATGGTCCCCCGCGCGACTGGTAATTTTTGATTTGCCATTTTTATTGGGGGACCCTGTGGGGGCCTCTACGGAGGAGAGAAGGCCCGAAAGCAACAACGTGAAAACAAAGTCTGTTTATCAATCAACGATTAGATTCGCAAATTTGGTCGAGCACTTTGAGATCGATCTTGGCTAGGTTGGTGACGAGCTTTCACGTGTAAATGAATGTTCAGATTCGCAGAAATCGAACAAGTAATTTGGAAAAGTCACGACGACTTACTTTACCTGCCGTCAACATATCACGAAATGAACAAGCAAAAGTTGTTAGGATTTTACTTACTAAAGCATGTCTTACGAAAGATGAGTCTCAAGTAACCCTAAATAACATGCGAATTCTCCATCTGACTCAAAAAGTTATCTCTTCTCGACAATCGCTCAAAGTTACAGTTCGTGTTTTCGTTAACTTAACTGAGGGGGACGTCTTCGTCTCATGTTTTCCCTCGTATAAAATGATTGATTTGTACCTTACATGTGCCTTATACAGTGTATAGGGAGACGTCGATAAATGCTTTATAAACAAGTTTAAGTGGCTTTTTAGAAACGAAATGTTGTTTCTTTCGTGTCATATTTTGGGGAAATTGCCAACCAAGTTTAAGATGTTCAAAACTGAGAGGCACGAGGACGTAAGGAAAACATAATTCATACCTTGAGTCTGCCTGATAGGAGATATTCCGATGTACATGCAGATGTCGGCAAACGTTTTGTAAACCAAATTAAATAGTTTTTTGGAAGCAAAGCCTCATTTGTTCCGTGTTATAAGTTGGGAAAACCCCCTCCAGTCAACGGAAAGCGAATCGAAAGCTCAAAGAAAGATAATTACAGTTGTATTACTCCGGGAAATTCCCGTGTTGTTTATTTAGTCAAAACGAAATGGAAAGTTCTAAATGTATATGCGGCTGTTCTAACAGTTCACAAGATCCACAAAGATTTGACAAGGTACAAAAAAATACTTAGTATGGCGAATATATTGTAGGTCAAAACTATTTCAACCGAGGTTGATTCAGAATTTTTCTTGTGACCAAATGTTTTAACATTAAAATTATTCATGAAGATGAGCTGTTCCATGTCTTCTGGGAAATCGATGGGAAAATTCCCGCCAATTGATTGACATAACGAAAACGGAAGCTCAGTGACCAATGGACATGCTAAATAGCCAATATTCGACTTGAATTAATTGGGGAAATTCCCTTATTTAGGCTTAAAGAAATCGAACTTAAGGATAATGTTCTACCAGTTTAATCATTTCAGTTGTTGAAGTTGCACAGGTTGTGACTTGTGGTTAACCAACTCCAGTGGTTCGACACGATCATCCGAGACTCTGCTAAAGTATGGCTAAGGTTAGTATTTTAGTCAACAGGTCTCTTTAACTTTTGTGTGCGTGATTATAGCGTTGCTCAGACGGACACATTATAAGCCGACTCGCTAGCTGGATTGGATAACCATGTGCTACAAATTTAGAACCCTTGCTCCGTATGGAATTAACCGTGGTTTCTCCTCGTGATCTATTTAAAAGCACCACGCGTGCGTGCACATCTTGGCGTGTGCTAACAGCTTCCAGCTACGAAGAAAGATGATGTGAACTGCGGAAATACGTATTTAAATGAAGATTTAATTGTCGCAGTGTTAATTTCTCTACTCTATGTTTTATTCGTTTCACAGGCTAAGATAGTCTGCTACACAGCCGTTTTTAGTGTCGTCACGCAACGATCCTCGCGTGACGACTCTAAAAACGGCTGTGTAGCCGACTAGGGCTAAGAAGAACTGAACAAATTGGCCTGCTCCCAGTGTATGGGTCCTCATAGCTCCGTTGTAGAGAACTGCAGGGCTGATTTGGTTCTTACCTGCCCGCAACGTTAGCAGTATAAAAGTACGAAAAAAACTTGAGCTTAGCAGCAAAACAAAATGGCTAACCCGTCTTGTTTTCTGTCGTAGATAGTTACAGTGATAGATGGAGTGGCCACAGCAGCGAAAGCTTTAGAAAAAGTAGAGGACATTAACCGAGCTTTGGTAAAAGTGAAGGAAGGTCTCCACTCTGTGAAAGTTTCCCAGTTTGACGCGACTCAGGTTCAACGAGAAATTGAGGGCGAACTATTTGACAAATGGCACGAGGGTTGCGAGGTATGAGGTATTCTTGCTCTCATGATCAATATAAAAAAAAGTGCTTGAAATATTAAGAAACGAAAGTACTACAGTGACATCGCAGTCTCCACACCTTAAACCTTTGTTAGTGCGCTAAAATAAATATCTGATATTTTTATCAATTAGGTAATGGAAGCCAAAGGTATTGCCATTGACCGTATCCAAAGCTTCCTGGATCATCTTCAGGACGCTTATGAGGGTATTGATGAAGAGATGAGAAAGAAAATGAACGGAATCGAGTGGGCAAAAGAATGGGCATATAAGGTAATGGAGTTTAAATACAACGCGTCAAGTGATTCTAGTGCCAGGTACGGAATGATAGCGTTTGG